GGAGCCACTGCAAAGCAGTACCTCCGAGACCCATTCCCGCGAGGCGTCCCAGAAGGATACCGTGGTCGACGGTATCGAAGGCCGCTGAGAGGTCGAGTAGCACCAACAGGGACACACTCCCCCTGTCGAGCTCCCGACGGAGATCATCCACTAAGGCGACCAAGGCTGTCTCGGTACCATGCCCCGGCCTAAAGCCAGACTGTGCCGGATCCAGATAATCCGTGTCTACCAAGAATGCCTGGAGTTGTGAGGCCACCACACGTTCCATGACTTTGCCCAAAAAGGGGAGATTGGAAACAGGCCGATAGTTGACGAATTGAGTGGGGTCCAGTGATGGTTTCTTCAACAGCGGGTTTATCACAGCTTGCTTTAAGCTGGCTGGAATTTTGCCCTCCCGAAGGGAGGCATTAACCACCACCTTAACCCACTCGGCCAATCCCCCTCTGGCCTCCTTTAGAAGCCAGGATGGGCAGGGGTCTAGGATGCATGTGGTAGCTCTCATTCCTCCAAGCACCTTGTCCACATCCTCGGTTTGACCAATTGAAATGAATCCATCAAAATTGGACAAGCAGATGCTCGTGTTACATCCTCAGAGACTGCCGTTAATATGGTGTCCAGTCCAGAGCGGATCAAAGCGACTTTGTCTGCAAAGAACTGAGCAAAGGCTTCACAGCGAGCTGCCGAGTCATCAGGGCTCCCATCCTGAATGGTGGGTTTTAGCAGGCCTCTGACAAACTCTCCCTAAGTAACAGACAGCTAGAATGAAAATCATGGAATTGGAAGAGAACCCAAAAGTCATCCAGACCAATCCCTCAATAGACAAATGGATGGATGGATAGATAGATAGAATTCTAGAGTTGGAAGAAACCTAAAGAACCATCCAGTCCAACTCTCCTAAGGTAGAGAGATAGGTAGACAAATCCCAAGGGTCATCTAGTCAAACTTCATGAGATGATAGCTGAAAAATAGATAGATAGAACCATAGAGATGGAAGAGACCAGTCCAAACCCCTTAAAAGAGAGAGAGAGAGAGCTAGAGTGAAAATATGGAAGATCATCCAAAGGTCATCCAAATCAACCCCTCAATAGGTGAATGGATGGATGAATAGATAAAAAAAAAGATAGAAAGATTTATAGAACCATGGAAATGGATGGGACCCACCACAGGTCATACGTCAAACCCTCTCTAAGTAACAGAGAGCTAGAATGAAAATCATGGAATTGGAAGAGAACCCAAAAGTCATCCAGACCAACCCCTCAATAGGCCGATGGATGGATGGATGGATGGATGGATGGATAGATAGATAGATAGATAGATAGATAGATAGATAGATAGAATCTTAGAGTTGGAAGAAACCTCAGAACCATCCAGTCCAACCTCCTAAGATAGAGAGGTAGGTAGGTAGACCCCAAGGGTCATCTAGTCAAACTCCATGAGATGATAGTTGGATAGATAGATTCATAAACTCATGGATTTCCAGCTAGACCTCCCTAAGAGAGAGAGAGAGAGAGAGAGAGAGAATAAAAGAATTGGAAGGAATATCCAAGCGACATCCAATCCATCCCTGTGGTAAAAAGATAGAATCATGGATTCATGGGAAGGGCCATCCAGTCCAACACCTCAATAGATAGATGGATGGATGGATGGATGGATGGATGGATGGATGGATGGATGGATGGACGGGCGGTCGGGCGGTCGGGCGGTCGGTCAGTCTCTTGGAGTTGGAACATTTCTCAAGGGTCATCCAGTCCAACTGTCTAAGATGGATGGATGGATGGGTGGGTGGGTGGGTGGATGGACAGACAGAATTGTGGAGCTGGAAGATATCTCAAGGGTCATCCAGTCCAACTCTCTCAGATGGATGGATGGATAGATAAATAGACAGAGCATAGAACCATGGAATTGGAAGGTGCATCCAAGACTCATCCAGTCCAACCCCAGTCAGCCCTATGCTATACCATGTGGGTTTCCCCATTTGGTTTCAATGACAGTGTTGCAGAGAAGAGCCTGCTGAAGTTGGGACCCTATTCCAGGAGGAGGCCTTTCTTTCTCTTCTTTTTCTTCCACCTTCCGGTCTTCCCACTCCTTTCCAACTCCATTCATTCCTTCAACCATACCTTCCCCAATGTATTATCGAAGGCTTTCATGGCTGGAATCACTAGGTTCTTGTGGTTTTTTCGGGCTATAGAGCCATGTTCTAGAGGCATTTCTCCTGACGTTTCGCCTGCATCTATGGCAAGCATCCTCAGAGGTTGAGAAGGTCTGTTGGAAGTAGGAAAAAATGGGTTTATATATCTGTGGAATGGCTGGGGTGGGGCAAGGAGCTCTTCCCTGCTGCAGTTAGGTGTGAATGTTTAGCTGATCACCTTCATTAGCATTTGAAGGCCTGCCTGAGTCTGGGAAAATCTGTTGCTGGGAGGTGTTAATCTGTGCCTGGTTGTTTCCTCTCTGTTGTTTTGCTGTTGTAATTTTAGAGTTTTTTAATACTGGTAGCCAGATTTTGTTCATTTTGCCCCACCCCGGTCATTCCACAGATATATAAACCCATTGTCCTATTTCCAACAGACCTCACTACCTCTGAGGATGCTGGCCATAGATGCAGGCAAAACGTCAGGAGAAATGCCTCTAGAACATGGCTCTATAGCCCGAAAAAAACCCACAAGAACATACCTTCCCCACTTTTAACCCCCCCTCAAAAGTGTGTCAGGATTGACATCTGCAGTATCAGGCCGCCACCTGGTGGCTTCCCTTCGCAACCACAGCTGGACCATTGAATTAATTCCCTTCCAGATTTTAATTTGCCCCGCCTGCATTCTTACTCTGACCAGATTGAACCCAATTTATGTGCAGAAACCTCATATACATATACAGTGTTCCCTTGCTACTTCGTGGTTCTCTTTTCGCGGATTCGCTGTTTCGCGGGTTTTTGCCTCCTGGCAACGATGGAGTATGGAGAGGCAACACATCATTAAAAAAGAGAGAAAGGAGATACAAAACAGTATATAAATCATGTCCTTACAGCCCCTTCCTTATAGCTAGCAAAAAAATAAAAAGTTGCGTGGTGCCTTTAAATCTCCCCTTGCTTCTGCCTCACCCGCGGAATCATATATGGCTGGATGGCCATCTGTTGGGGGTGCTTTGAATGCAATTTTCCTGGCAGGGGGTTGGACTGGATGGCCCATGATGTCTCTTCCAACTCTATGATTCTATGATATTATATATATATATATATATATATATATATATATACACACACACACACACACACACACACACACACACACACACACACATATACACATATATATATATACACATACATACATAGAGAGGGAGAGAGCATCCCTACTTTGCGGATTTTCACTTTTCATGGGTTGTCCTGGAACGTAACACCTCAGTGCAATTTTCTTGCTTCTTGGAAGGGGTAGGACTGCATGGCCCATGAGGTCTCTTCCAACTCTATGATGTGTGTGTATATATATATATATATATATATATAATCCCTACTTTGCGGATTTTCACTTTTCGTGGGTGGTCCTGGAACATAACACCTGAATGCAATTTTCCTGCCTCTTGGAAGGGATTGGACTGCATGGCCCATGAGGTCTCTTCCAACTCTATGATTCTATGATATTATATATATATATATATATATATATATATATATATATATATAGATAGATAGAGAGAGAGCATCCCTACCTTGTGGATTTTCACTTTTCACAGGTGGTCCTGGAATGTAACATCTGAATGCAATTTTCTTGCTTCTTAGAATGGGTTGAACTGGATGGCCCATGAAGTCTCTTCCAACTCTATGATTCTATGATATTATATATATATATGTATGTATGTATATATATATATATATATAGAGAGAGAGAGAGAGAGAGAGAGAGAGAGAGAGAGCGCGTCCCTACGTTGTGGATTTTCACCTTTTGCGGGTGGTCCTGGAACGTAACACCTGAATGCAATTTTCCTGCTTCTTGGAAGGGGTTGGACTGCATGGCCCATGAGGTCTCTTCCAACTCTATGATTATACGATTATATCCCTACTTTGCGGATTTTCACTTTTTGCGGGTGGTCCTGGAACTTAACACCTGCATAACAGGTGTTATGTAGAATCATAGAATCAAAGAGTTGGAAGAGACCTCATGGGCCATCCAGTCCAACCCCATTCTGCCAAGAAGCAGGAATATTGCATTCAAAGCACCCCTGACAGATGGCCATCCAGCCTCTGTTTAAAGCTTCCAAAGAAGGAGCCTCTACCACACTCCGGGGCAGAGAGTTCCACTGCTGAACGGCTCTCACAGTCAGGAAGTTCTTCCTCATGTTCAGATGGAATCTCCTCTCTTGTAGTTTGAAGCCATTGTTCCTCCTAGTCTCCAGGAAGCAGAAAACAAGCTTGCTCCCTCCTCCCTGTGGCTTCCTCTCACATATTTATACATGGCTATCATATCTCATCTCAGCCTTCTCTTCTTCAGGATAAACATGCCCAGCTCCTTAAGCCGCTCCTCATAGGGCTTGTTCTCCAGACCCTTGATCATTTTAGTCGCCCTCCTCTGGACACATTCCAGCTTGTCAATATCTCTCTTGAATTGTGGTACCCAGAATTGAATGCAATATTCCAGGTGTGGTAGACTGCTAGGAATTGTAGGAGTTGAAGTCCAAAACACCTGGAGGGCCAAAGTTTGCCTGTGTCTGATATAGATAGATACTCTGTGTGTGTGTGTGTGTGTATATATATACACATAAAGTGTGTGCTTGTATGCAGTCTCTACCATTGAGTATGCCATGTCAATGGAAATTTCCTATTCCACCTGTTTTTTCTCCTCCTCCTTTCCTCCCTCCTTCTTCCTTCCTCCTTTTTTTATTGAATTCTTTCTGGCCCATTGAGCACAGAGGGAGATAGAAGGGGAGGGGGGAGGCTTGGGGGAGGGATATTGTGTTTGGCTGCGCTGCCTCTTTTCTGTCCACCTGACAGGGAGAGAGAAAGGAGGAAAGAAGGAAGGAAGGAAGGAAGGAAGGAAGGAGAAAAAGGAGAAGGAGGAGGAGTAAAAGCTGGGAAGGATGCTGCGCTGGCGGCTACGGAGGAGGAGGAAGAGGCAATGGTGACGACTACGGACCTTTTCTTTCTCTGATGCCCCCTCCCCATAAAGACCAGCTTCACCCCCCTCTCTAAAAAGGAGAGAGATGTAGTTCTTCCCTCCATAAGGGTTCCCCCCCCCCTTACTTTTTCCCTTCTGATATGGTCCAAGGAAAGACAGCAAGGACTGCCCATCTCCCTAATTTATTTTTTCAAGGAGGAAGGTGGGCAGAATTAGGAGATATATATACAGCAGTATATAGCAAAGCTTAAGGGTTTTGGAACCAAGTGAGGAGGGGGCCGGAGGACTTGCCCACCTGTCAATCAAGGCCAAGCGGTGCCCCCCTCCCCTTCCAAAAGGGGCACCATGTTTGTGTCTGTCTGGTACGCCAAGAAGATGGGACGACGCTTCATCAGCAATGTCCGGAAGGCAAAGAAGCAACGCCATCTGCTCACGGTAGTAGCCTGAATGCTGTATTATTATTATTATTATTATTATTATTATTATTTTTAGTTATCATTAGGAACAAGTGATGTTTCTAAGGGCTAAGGAGCATTAGGACTTCTGTCATAGAGGGAAGAAGCAAAAGGGAACATACCAAGAGTTGGATTGGTAATGATGGTTGTTGTTGTTGTTGTTGTTGTTGCTGTTGTTGTTGCTGTTGTTGTTGTTGTTGTTGGGGGCACAAGTGATGTTGCCATTGCTGTGTTAAGACCCCTGTTTTATATAGAAAAGGGGGTTCAGAGTCAAAAGGCAAAATGCCAAGAGAAGGGATGTTGTTGTTGTTGTTGTTGTTGATGATGATGATGATGATGATGAAGATGATGATGGTGGGGATGAGGATGATTTAATGGGGTCCAAGCAATGTTTCCATGGAGAGGTCAGGACCCTTAGAGAAAAGGGGGTCAGAGTCAAAAGGCAAAATGCCAAGAGTAGAGATGATGATGATGATGATGATGATGATGATGATGATGATGATGATGGTATTGGTGGTGGTGGTGATGATGATGATGATGACCATACTTTGATGGGGTCCAAGTAATGTTTCCATGGGGAGGTCAGGACCCTGTCTCATATAGAAAAGGGGTCATAGTCAAAAGGCAAAATGCCAAGAGTAGAGATGATGATGGTGATGATGAAGGTGATGGCTGTGTTGGTCATGGTGATGATGATGATTTAATGGGGTCCAAGCAATGTTTCCATGGGGAGGTCAGGACCCTTGTCTTCTAGAGAAAGGGGGAGTCAGAATCTAAAGGCAAAATGCCAAGAGTAGAGATGATGATGATGATGATGATGATGATGATGATGATGATGATAATGGTGATGGTAATGACTATGATTTAATGGGGTCCAAGCAATGTTTCCATGGGGAGATCAGGACCCCTGTCTTATAGAGATAGGGGGTGTCAGAGTCAAAAGGCAAAATGCCAAGAGTAGAGATGATGATGGTGATGATGAAGATGATGGTGGTGGTGGTGATGGTGATGACCATGATTTAATGGGGTCCAAGCAATGTTTCCATGGGGAGGTCAGGACCCCTGTCTTATAGAGAAAAGGGGGGTCAGAATCCAAAGGAAAAATGCCAAGAGCAGGGATGATGGTGATGATGATGGTGGTGGTGGTGGTGGTGATTATGATGATGATGATGATGACAACTATGATTTATTGGGGTCCAAGCAATGTTTTCATGGGGAGGTCAGGACCCTTGTCATATAGAGAAAGGGGGGTCAGAGTCAAAAGGCAAAATGCCTAGAGTAGAAATGATGATGATGATGATGATGAAGAAGATGAAGTAGAAGATGATGATGGTGAGGATGAGGATGATTTAATAGGGTCCAAGCAATGTTTCCATGGGGAGGTCAGGACCCCTGTCTTATAGAGAAAAGGAGGGTCAGAATCCAAAAGAAAAAATGCCAAGAGCTGGGATGATGATGATGACGGTGGTGGTGGTGGTGGTGGTGGTGGTGATGATGATGATGATGACAACTATGATTTAATGAGGTCCAAGCAATGTTTCCATGGGGAGGTCAGGACCGCTGTCTTATAGAGAAAGGGGGTTAGAGTCAAAAGGCAAAATGCCAAGAGTAGAGATGATGATGATGGTGGTGGTGATGGTGATGGTGATGGTGATGATGATGATGATAACCCTGATTTAATGAGGTCCAAGCAGTGCCCCATGGGGTGGTCAGGACCCCTGTCTTATAGAGAAAAGGGGAGTCAGAGTCAAAAGGCAAAATGCCAAGAGTAGAGATGATGATGATGGTGATGATGAAGATGATGGTGATGGTGAGATGATGATGATTTAATGGGGTCCAAACAATGTTTCCATGGGGAAGTGAGGACCCCTGTCTTATAGAGAAAGGGGGGTCGGAGTCAAAAGTCAAAATGCCAAGAGTAGAGATGATGGTGATTATGACTGTTGTTGTTGTTGTTGTTGTTGTTGTTGTTGTTGTGGTTGTTGAATAAGGGCCAAGCAGTGTAGCTTTGGGGGGCTTTGGACCCCTATTCCACCGAGAAAGGAGAAAGAAAGGCCAAGAGGCAAAATGCCAAGAGTTGGCTAGAAAAGATGGCATCGTTTTTTAAAAAAAAATCCCCATTTCCTTGGAGAGGAATGCAGAGGAAAGATTTGGGTACCAGAGAAAAAGAGTAGTGGGTTTATTGGGGGGGGGGGGGGGCTGCATGGAAGGAGATCACAGGTTGAAGCACAATGCAAAGCAATGGGGGCGTATCCTGCATTGGAGGGGGAGCAGTGTTAATATATAGAGATAAATGGTAGCAGTGCTTAGAGGGGAATGATTTTGGGGTCCTCCTTCCTTTTTGAGGTGATTGTGTTTGGAAAAGGGGCTAAATAGCAGGTTTTGGGGTGGTTGTGACAACAGATGAAGTCTATATATGTGGAATAGGGAAAAGGGGGGGTTCAGTCAGAATGCTTTTTTGTTGTGCTGTCTATCTCTCTGATGTCCCCCCAAAACTGACCCATAGATACTCCAATCTTCATCATGCAACCCATAGGGAATTATACATTGGGGCCTTTCTCTAATGTTTAGGATGAGACTGTTGCTTTTAAACAGAGGATTTGGGGGTGTCATTTGTCACAATTGGGAAAGGGGAAGGATTTTGGGGTGCCAGTAGGACTGAAGAGGGGTCCCTTAAAATAGTGGGGTTACATTGCAGGAATTGGGATCGAAATTGGGGTTTGGGATTCAGTTGGGGGTCACAAACTAAAATTTGGGGTTCAGTTTTAGGTGGGCGATGGGGCAAAAATTGGGGAGACCTGGTTCATGACTTGGGGTTGTTTGAAAACAGGAAAAACATGACAGTATATAAGAATAATATATTGCATATCTCATATCTATATATATGTAAACACACAATAATGTATGAGTAAGAAAAAGGGGGTTTGTTTGCAGTGCTTGGAAAAGGAGTTGCTTGTGAGTCAATGAAAGCATAATATTGGGGTGCTTTAAGAAAAGAGGGGGGTCTGGCTGAGCCACTGGGATTGGTATTGCAGATTTTACATTGCATTGCTTGCAGATTGGGGTTCTGGGGGGCTCCGCTGTATTTTTTGGGGGGAGGAAATTATGGAATTCTGAAATCAGACGGTTTTCTTTGCAATGCAGGTGAATGGAGCCTTGCAAGCGGGGAACATGGGGGGGGGGGGAGACCTAGTGCGTCAGCTCCATAGACAGATGGCGTCAGTATTGTTGTTCTGGAGCGCATGAATGGGAGCGTGAAAGCGGAGCAACGTGACTTCCATCCCTGAATTATTATTATGGCTCTCTTTCTTAATGGGGAAGGTCTTCAGGTATGGGAGAACCCCCCTTTATTTGTCTCCTTCTCTGCTTTCAACATTACAATAGTTCAACATTTGCAAGGATTGTGCTAAGCTCAGAACCTTATCGGATTCCTCTGGTTCTTTTTTGGACAACAATGCCTAGAATCCCCAGAAAGTATAGAGCAGGCATAGACCAACTTTGGCCCTCCAGGTGTTTTGGACTTCAACTCCCACAATTCCTAACAGTTAGGAATTGTGGGAGTTGAAGTCCAAAACACCCGGAGGGCCGAAGTTGTCCCATGCCTGATCTATCAGCCATCCCTTCTGGCCATACTAAATGGGAATTCTGGTTTATGCTGGCTGGAGTGATGGGAGTTGGAGTCCAACCCATTGGGAGGAGGACACCGCTTTAACTGTCATTATTGTTAACATGGACTAACAGGTTAACAAGCCCGGTTAGTCTGGGCCCATAACCAATTGTCAATGTGGGTAAAATAATCGCGGAAGCACTGAATAATGGACTTTGGAGTCTCCAGTAAAAAGCAGGTTTCAGCTTTACTTGAGCAGTTCAAAAACACAACATACACCATCAGCAGACAGACGTGAAGAACACAGAACAAAAGAGATAGGCACTTAAAACAAACTGCAGCTGGAAGGGAGGTTATCTCTGGCACTCCCTAATCTTTCACACAGCAAGGATTCAGGGTCACATTCTCACAGTCTTCTGTGTAAACATACATCCTGACAATACAGTTCTATTACAATTCCAATCCTACTACACAAAATTACATTTAAACATACATCATACATAAAATACACACTGACAATTATGTCCCCATGCTGTTAGCAGTGGTTCTCAACCTTCCTAATGCCACGACCCCTTAGTAAAGGTCCTCTCGTTGCCGTGACCCCCCAACCATAACGTTATGTTCGTTACTATTTCTTTAATTTTGCTACTGTTATGAATCGTAATATAAATATCTGATATGCAGGATATATTTTCATTCACTGGACCAAATTTGGCACAAATACCTGATACGCCCAAATCTGAATACTGGTGGGGTTGGAGGGGATTGATTTTGTCATTTGGGAATTTTGGAGTTGCTGGAATTTATAGTTCACCTAAAATCAAAGAGCCTTTTGAACTCCACCAATGATAGAATTGAATCAAACTTGGCACACAGAATTCCCATGGCCAATAGAAATAGTGGGAGAGTCTGGTGGACACTGACCTTGAGTTTTTGGAGTTGTAGTTCACCTACATCCAGAGAACACTGTGGACTCAAACAGTGATGGATCTCGATCCAACTTGGCACAGATAATCAATATGCCCAAATGTGAACACTGGTAGAGCCTCTCTTATGGCTTTCCGTAAGAGCCTAAAGACCTGGCTATTTGAGAAGGCATTTAACTGAGTGCTATATTAACTGGCAATGACAATTGGAACGAAATATGGACTATGAGATTGGTTATGATTCTATGTTGTGACGATGCGGATTAGTTTAGTGTAATTTAGATTAGTGTGTATTATTGTTAAGTTGATTTTTTTTTTGTGCTTTATTGTAAACTGTTTTATATGTTGTACACCGCCGCGAGTCGCCCTAGGGCTGAGAGCGGCGGTCAACAAATGCAGCAAATAAATAAATAAATAAATAGAGTTTGGAGAAAACAGACCTTGCTA